TCGTTGTCGTTGTCGTTGTCGTTGTGATTGTGATTGTGATTGTCATTGTTATTGTTATTTTTATTAAAGCCTCGGCCATCAGTTAAAAAACGCACCAATTCTCAGCTGACAGTTAAAATGTTGACCTATCCAAATAAATCACTATCCGGTTCGAACAACGTCTGGCCCGGAGTTTAGTTCAATCTAACGTGCGCTCTTATTGGTTGATTTATGGTCACATGGGGCCAGCTATCAATCTCATTCCCAGAGCCCACGTTACCCTTGGCCTTCGTTTGCTGTTGCGCTGGACAAGGGTAACTTGGGCTCTGGGAACGAGATTGGGTCGGCTATATGAAAAATTTACTTGTTCCTATAGCCTGCGTAGCAGGTGTTCATTTCCGATCCAAAAGCACGCGAAGGGAGTGCGAAAAAAATAAGGAGCAGGAGAAGGGGTGGGGAAAAAACTGATTTCTTTCCTGCCCACTCCTTCCCCTGCTCCTTAATTTTTTTGCTCAGCCCGTCCCTACTTCTCCCCAATTTTTTCTCACCCCAGGCGTGCTCGTTTGCTCGCTCGCTTGCTCGATCTCCCCGCCTGGAGAACGGAAAGGAAACGTCTGCTACGCAGACGTTTGTTCCCCGAGGACAGACACCCTACCCCCTTCCCCCACCTCACTCGCTTCTTATTGTCCTTAAGATGATTTTTCCGGACACNTTCCCCTTCTCCTTAATTTTTTTGCTCAGCCCGTCCCTACTTCTCCCCAGTTTTTGCTCACCCCAGGCGCGCTCGTTTGCTCGCTCGCTTGCTCGATCTCCCCGCCTGGAAAACGGAAAGGAAACGTCTGCTACGCAGACTTTTGTTCCCCGAAGACAGACACCCTACCCCCTTCCCCCACCTCACTCGCTTCTTATTGTCCTTAAGATGATTTTTCCGGACACCGAAATTACATCAAATGCTCCATGAAATTACAAATCCAAATATTGAAAGTTCAGTACATACAGAGGCACACGAACAGTACAGCACAGCGTTTCCGCTGGTCAAACGAACTTTGATTTCGTCCCATTACGTGACGAGTCAAGAAAAGATCTCTGATCTCTGACGTGACGTGTACTATTGTAACCGGGTCGCCAAAAAGGACCGAACCATATCATCGTGTTGTTAGGCTCTTCTGTTTCTAATTCACCGCTCCAAATTTTGTCAGCTTTAAAGACGAATTAACAATATTCGACATGGCAAAGCTTTGCTCGTCAAAAATGCCTCACAATCAGGACAGCCTGTGGTCATCGCTCGTGTGTTTCTCAGCAATGATGTGCTGGACTGCTGCAGTAGGGTTCGTGTTTAGCTTTGGTATCTTCTTTCCGGTTTTCATGGATTACTTTAAAGAAGATCGAGAACGCACAGGTATGAATTATTGTTCTTGTTAAGGAGATAGCGTGGCAATTTAAGTATTCTTTGAGAATGGATTCTGCAATCGTGAGGAGAATGTGTTAATCTAGTTAAATTTATTTGATATTGATGTGAATGTACTTGTCAGGTGCTGTCAGGCCGGTCCAGTTTTTGAGTTGGAACCCATGCAAACGCTATCATATTTTCCAGCTGCTTGAAATTTCTATATATTTTTGAATTTCGGTGGAAATTTTATGTTCTGCTAAATTAACAGAATAAGACAAAAGAGGTTTTTGGCTCCTCAAAGCCATTTGATATGTCATACAAAAGCCAGTTTGTTGATTTTTGAATCAAACTCAATAGAGTCTGTACAAACCGCAGATCTTTTGAAGTCTGGGTTTTAATTAAATGTTATCCCTTTTGAACGACAAGCTATTATCTGAATTTATTGCTTCCCTTTGTGTCATTTCAATGTTGATCTATTATTGAGAAAGTGATACGCTGTATTACATGATTACCAAGCGTCAATTAACATAACACACTGCATATGCATGTAATCACACTCCCTTTCTTGCATCGGAGCAATAATGCTTCCGAAGTTCGCGACGTAGCAGACCGGCTGTTTAATAAGATCAGTAGCCTGTGAACTCGGGCAGATTCCCAGCTGCTGCAAAGGTTATGGGGTAAAAAAAAGGAAAAGAAAATACGAATATTACACGCAGAACGAAATACAATTTACTGTTGCTGTGTCGTAATTGTTTACATTTAACCAGAGACCACAGGTTTGGAGACAAAGGAGTTTATTGGCAGACTGCAAAGCTACGACACAAGACTATAGATCTGACTCGTGACAAGCACGAGACTAATATAACAATGCTTACGTCATTTCAACAATAAGTCATCCTCACTGAGGTGACGATTGACACGACCTCGCGATGGACTGGGGGAGGGGGTTAGGCGGGCTGAGGGTTCGTCGATCTAAAGAAATCTTGTGTTAATACCGCTAATTCTTGGTAGGATGTCCCCTCTGGATGTTCCCATTCTGTTTCATATCATGTCATTTCTTAGCATGCATAGTCTGGGCCTCCGCAGATATCCCAAGCTCGTTGCGTGAGCGTCGATCATATTGCGTAACAACGTAAATACAAGACATTGCTCGTCAATAGTAACGAAAGTATTTATGTTGCTACTGAAGTTAGGCCATTCTAAAGCGATTTCAAAGAGTTTTAGGTTCAAAAAGAGTAAATGTACACAGAGAAAGTGAGGAAAGGAGTTTTTACTGTACATGTATTCCTTTCAGGCTGTATTTCAAGCTGCGGAATATATTAGTTTTTGAAATAGCGTACAGACGTCAGTCGCCGTGGGAAGAAGGGTCACTTGTCCTATGTTTGGGTATAGGGTTGCCGCTGAGGATTTGAAATCCCGCTCCTGCTTAGTACAAAAATACTGTAAAAACCCTACCCAGTGTGGGATTACACCCTGTATTTTAAGACTCTGTTTAAGACAAGAGATAGAGGTCTCGACTGTACCAGGCATGAAGTCACGTCAAGAGACGATTATCGCGGCACAAAGCGAAAGACAACGTTAAAGACTAACAAGCAACCATACCCTGTTTAGGACGGGTTCCGACCCTGTTTAGGACAGTGGCAAGTACAAATTCAGGACAGCGAGGCCAGAAAACCCATACCCTATCCGGCGATACGTCCCCATTTAGGCCAAATAAGGGAGTAAAAGCCCTATTTTCGCGCTCTCGTTTCATCTCAGCCACATTTATTTCTAGTTCTTAAACGCTGTTTTCCTAATTGAATTCATTTGATTTACTCTACATTTTACTTCTACCCTGAATCGGACCANTCATCTCAGCCACATTTATTTCTAGTTCTTAAACGCTGTTTTCCTAATTGAATTCATTTGATTTACTCTACATTTTACTTCTACCCTGAATCGGACCATCGTAAAATGTCCCTGGCAACTTGAAACAGTTCCTTTTCTGATTACGTTCTTGTGCTATTTTCCAGCTTGGATCGGTTCCCTTGCCATTGCACTCGTATTTTTCACTGGTTCTGTCTCAGGAATCATGGTCAGCAAGTTTGGTTGTCGGGCGACATCTCTTCTTGGAGCCATTATCTGCGCGGTGAGTTTGGTCAGCGCATCAATGTCCCAAAGTCTTGTGGTTTTATATCTTTCCTACAGCATACCATTTGGTATTGGCACCAGTTTCATTTTCAACGCTGGGCTCGTAATTGTGAGTAATTACTTCACGAGGCGACGATCTCTGGCCCTGGGTTTTGTGTCTGCTGGTCAAGGATTGGGCGTGCTGGTTCAGGGGCCACTTCTACAGACATTGATCGATCATTATGGCTGGAAAACTACCTACAGAATCATGGCCGGGGTGATATTTGGTGTTTGTTTACTCGGAGTAACTTACGATCCTAATGTGAAATCTGACATGGAAGTAGAGAACGCTGACCAGTTGTCATCAAGTGACGAGAAAAGACCGCACCAGCCCCGAGAGATAAAAAGATGCATGTTTTTGGACGTGTCAGTGTGGAAAATTCCGGCTTTCGTTGCTATAAACTTGTCTTCCGGTATTGCGCAATTTGGGCATTTTGTTCCACAAATTCATCTGGTAAGTTTAATAAACCTTTATTATATGGCTGAACTGGTCCGCGGTGATTAGGACAATTCTGATTGGATCCCTTAGTGGTCCGAATTTTGCAGTACAGACCGCTAAGATGGACCGCTCACGAATTAATTTCGGTGATTTGCTTTTTCCGTCAATTCATTGGACAAAATAAACAGTTCTTGTTAAGTAGGAGTATTTATACCTTCATGTCTAGAGGATAATTTCAGTTAATGCTTTACCTTTCGCGCGCCGTTTATATGAAACTTAATGCTTGCATCGTCCGCTTATAACGTTTTTCAGATACGATTCTGCGAAGACACTGGTATAACTGCTGACAAAGCCTCCAAGCTCTACATTTATTACGGAATATCTTCAGCCACCGCACGGGTGATATCGGGCCGAATTTGCGACATGAGAACAATAAACCCAATGTACATCTATCAAGGGGTGGAATTTGTGGTTGGTTTGTCGACAATTCTCATCACCCTCGCTGACAGTTACTCTGATATGATTGTGTTTGCTGTGTTTTATGGATTTTGCGATGGATGTTTCATAACGACCTTAAACGTTATTCTTTTGACGAGCGTTGAAGAAGCGAAGAGGCCGGCCTGTCTAGGATGGAATATGCAAGTTGCGTCAATTTTTATGGGCAGTGGTCCGCCTATCGCAGGTAAGAACGTGACGTTACACACAAGTGATTTTATGCTAAGTCCTGTTTAGCTCATGTGGAAGGCGCGGTGGCCTCATCAATGTGGTTAGTGCGCTCGACTCCGGATCGAACGGTCCGGGTTCGAGCCCTGGCAGGGGACATTGTGTTGTGTCCTTGGGCAAAACACTTTACTCCCACCGTGCTTCCCTCCATCCAGATGTA